GAGATCATTCTTAATCCCACTTCAGAGGACATACATAATGAAGGGAATTCTCCAATATATCCTGCTGCTGTTGGACAAACAATCATTCTGATTGAACCAGAACAGAAATTATAAACTTCAATAACTTTATAATTAAGTTACTCCATAAAGTTTAAGGGAAGCAACAATTTATGAATTTTTAAAGCCAGTCCAAAAAATATTTCTAGTATTATTTCTGATTACTCATCTTTTCTCCAAGTTTCTATGTTTATATATTAATATCATGCATGTTGAATGACATAGAATTTTCCTTTCATTTATAATAAGTAATAGTAGTACATGCTTTCTATAATTAATGTATAGAGGATTGTATATATTATGTATAATTATAGTAATATATATAAGTATATATATAATATATAATATAAAATATATAATTCATGTATAGAGGATTCACGAGTCTGTGGAAAGTAGTTATATTAGTTGGGGCTGTCTTTTTTAGTAATATCTCAACTGAAAATATCTGAAGACCAGTATAATTTCACCTGAGATCTGATGCTTTAATGTCCCAACTTCCTTCTCCCTGGACTTTGACCACAGAGGGCAGAAATATAACTGCTTGGCAGACACCATGTTCATACCTCAATAGGTTTTCCCACTCTAAGAACCATTCTTTCTTATTCTAATTTGAATAATCTTAGGGGTGAGAGTATAATGGCCTAAATACAAGTCATGTACTCTACCACTTTGACCGGGGCATCAGTGTACTAAGACAGATCTATGCCAAAGCACTAAGCATTTGGTATGCCAACATTTTTTATATGTAATCGTGTATTTTGCACATGTTCTAAATAGGATTCAAAGATGGTAAATATGTGGATTAGTAAGGTACATGCAAAATAAAATAAGTAATTTTAGTGTCAATTCAATACTAGTCAACAGTGATATGCTTTTTAAAAACCAATGTATCATTTTTTTTAGATTTGAAAAGGAAATGAGTAGGTTCTAGAAAACAGAAATTTATATTCTTAACACTCAAGCAATATTTGGACTATTGTGTTCAGTTTGAAGTAAAATACTGTGTGTGATATAGGAAAAAGTATACAGTTTCATAAATATGATCTAGAAATATGGTATTTTAAGATGACTAAAATAATCAAGGATACCTTTTTCTAGCAAAGCAAAAATTCATGTGGCACAAGACAGTTATCTCAACATTCATCACATGGTAGTGAGAGGTACTGAAAGTATTGTATATGTTCAACAGATTTTGTAAAATTAACTGCCTCAAACTATGGGAAGAAATATTTGGTTTCACAGCAAAAACAAACATCCCTATCATCAGACACACCCTGAGCTGACAGTCATAAAAGTTTGAGTACAGACTGAATAACCACACACATAGCAGATATTCTCTAAGGACACACCTAATAGGTAGTTGGATTAAATGTACTTTTTTTGTCTTCATTCTAATGAATCCTGATTTTGTTAGACAGTAGAGGGTTGAATCCTCAGCTCAACCCCATTCTTGCTATGTGGTCTTGAGATATGTCTGTTCTCCAACTCTCTGAAAAATAGAAATACTAAAATCTACCTTCTGTGTAAACTCAGGTAAGTGATTTCTATGATATGTTTAGCACAGTCCCATACCCTTGGAAAGACCTTAATACTGTCAATGTTATTTTAATCTTAACCTATTGAGTTTCTTTCCATTATATCTTTTGTCTCAGTGGCATTTTCATTTCTACTATGATGGCTGGAATTTATTTTATTTTTTCTTAAGACATTTTCTTGTTCCTCCTTTCTATCTAAATGCATACAATGATACAGAAATTTGAAATTTTTATTAAATATTAACTTTCTAAGTATTAATATTTCCTAAGACACAAATAAAGCTTGAATAAATTTCTGTCATTCAATGATTTATATCACCCAACAACAAAATCTTTTATTTTTATGTCCCACCGGGTATCATAGGATTTAACTATTACACAAGAGCATTTGTTAGAATATCTTCTATGACTTATATTTCTTTATCTGTCTTTCACACATTCCCAGGGTACCTGATGAAATTTATTCAATAGTTAGGGTCCTTAAGTTAAGGGCTTTAATAATGGAAACCCCAGTTTACTATGTGCTCAGGAATACCTTTCTCAAGTTTACATTTTGCACATGCTTAATTCTGTATCAGTTATTATGAGTTAGTTATGAATTTTCTTCTGTAATAGATGGTAAATTCAATACAGTGTTTGGCACAATGTCTTACATACAAGTATCATAAGTATGACTTTTTAAATGAAATTATTGAAAAGAGTGTAGTAATAAGTTAACATAGACTCCAACACAAGTGAACAAAGCTCTCACACAGCCTGAGATGAAGTGAGTAAACAAAGAAATACTGGCTATACTTTTATCCAGCAGGGACAGAGAGATAATAAGTGAACCTTTGCTCCTCAGGAAGTGTGGATATTAGAGTGAGGACAGATAGAGATGGAAAAACAGCTACTCTCATCTATTAGTGCACTGTGAGGGAGCTAGAACAGGAGATCCAACTTTTTAAAGTCCAGGACTGGGATTCAGATCCATCCCTCTTGCTCCCCAAAACATCAGTGCCGTGTATTCTTCTCCTCTATTTCCATGAAGGAAAACTGGTTCTGGTGATGCTGGTGGATAGTTCTGAGTACTGACATTGCAGGATTTCTTGTTGTAGGGCCGTAACCTAGAAGACTCCGCGGTAATAACTTTGAATCACTGCTTGAAGTTGATGGCCCTCTGCAACGGTTGCTTGATATGAACTGTGATTTATACTCTGAGTACTGATGCTAACGAAAGATGGGGAACAGTAATGCTAATGATCTCCCATTAGGATCGGATCCCACAAGTATCAGCTCTTGGGAAAAGTTACAGTTAGCAAGTCCCTTTTCTCCCATTGACTCTCAAGTGTTTGATCGTGTCATATAGTTGTAATTTATCATTTTTGTGAGATTATTGCTTGGAAACAAAAATGTGAGAAATTTTATTAGAGCTCCAGTGAACTTCATATCAAGCTATATAAGAATTTAAAATTTTAGGAAATTTTTAAGACATTCATTAAAGGAACTTTCTAAAGTGATTTCACATAAGATAAATTTAAAAAAAAGAAAAAAAAACCTTTGTGTGCAATATTTGAATGATTTTCTTTTTTCATTGACCTCTATTAACTGTATTTAGATGCCATGATATATTTATAAAACAGTAATACTTGAAACATTTTAACATGTAGGCTGCAGGAAGGTTTCAACTGTTTACTGTCATAACCCCATGAAAAGTTCCTAACAAGTATAATAAGTTGATGACTTTATCTAACTCTATAAATAAAAGAAATATTGATGAATAATATAGAGATCTGTTGCTTACTGTGAAAAAGTTTACTAAATGTTGATTGCTTAATATACAGAGTAATATATGTTCTGGTTCAACGTGGCAATCTAGGAAGATCCACAATTCTGACTGCAGCAATATAGGTCACCATATTTTCTCTTTATCTTGAAATCAAATTTATTGAATTTTAATTTATATGTGATAAAATTCTACATGCTAAGAATTTTCTCAATGTCAACATAGGTGATGTTCTTTTCTAGTCTGGGTATTGGAAACCATGGTATTCTAGACTGGAGTATTCAAGTTCCAGATATCAATGTATCTCTGATTTGCTATGTTGACCCATCAGATATCAAACATACATATTATTTTTTAACACATGTAGGCTGCATGATTGAAAACCAAGAGTTTTTGTTTTGAGGATATTGGATTGTTAACTTTATTAAATGACTTAAGAAATTAGGTGCTCACATGGTGTATTATCTGCACCGGGGTTTGATATAGCACCCACTTTTTATTTTTCTAAATTTTTGCATAGAAATAAGTTAGGATGCTATCAGTTTTATTGCATACCTTTGAAGAACTCTTCGGGTATACATTTAATTGATTTTAACATTTAAAAGTGATGTGTAGATAATTGGAGAAAGTAATGGATAAAGATAGTATGAGAGATATGTGACTTCACATCAGTTCAGTTCAGTTCAGTCACTCAGTCATGTCTGACTCTTTGTGACCCCATCAACCTAAATACTTTTTAAAAAGAAATAAGAAAATTATCAAGGTCTTTCTAGTGCCAGAAACTATCTTAGGTCCTGCAGATATGGCAGAAATACATGCATGGGGCTGACCTTTATGAACATTACAGTTCAGAGCATTTTGAACAATAAGCAGGCAAATACATACCCAAAACAATAAATGGCATTGTAGGAGGCATACTGGTTTGAGCAGTGTTACAAAGCATGAAGGAGTTCTTAACTCAGATTTTAAGCTCTGGTAAGGGTTTCAAAGTAAGAGAACTGAAAGGTTGTTTCTGAACCATGAAAGACACCAGGATTCTTGGTCTCCAGAGGAGAAGAATTCAATCCGGGGCCAGAGACGAGGCTTGATCGCTCAGAGCTTTGGGGTAATAAAGTTTGATTAAAGTATAAAAGAGAGAAAGCTTCTGACACAGACATCAGAAGGGGGATGGGGAGTGTCCCCTTGCTAGTGTTAGCAATGGAGTTATATGCCTTTTACTTAGTTATTACAATGAATCAAAAGAATGTCTCAAGTTTGTGAAAATTTTACCAGACCCACTCCCACAATTTATCTTTTAAGAGAACAGGATTAGCCAGAAGGTTGTTGGAAGGAGAGACTGCCCTCAAGCAGGATGCATTGCTGTTATATAACCCTTAGTACAGAGTTTAAACTGAGCTGTTGGTTGTGTAATCATCTGTTCCAGGCTTAAAGATAAAAATGTTTTATGTGACTAGGACTAAGGGATGTAAAGGAAAAAAAAAATTGTCCTTTCCTCTTCCTTGAGAATTCCAGACCCTTCTCTCCTTGGGGGCCCCCAGACTTCTTATCAACCTGTCTAGGAATTGGCTCTCTCAGAACCATAAATCCATGCAATGTAATGAGCAAAGACTAGATCTAAAATATCATGCTCATTTCATGTCTGGTCACAAAAATATTCTCTTAAGCATTTTCTTCAGGGCAACATTGACATCTTTGTTCCTGAGGCTGTAGATCAGGGGATTCAGCATGGGCACAACAATAGTATAAAACACAGAGGACACTTTCCCTTGGCCCATGGAGCTCACAGATGATGGCTGCAGGTACATAAATGCTGCAGATCCATACAAAGTAGCGACAACTGATATGTGGGAGCTGCATGTGCTGAAGGCTTTGGACCTGCCCTCCAAGGAACGAATGTGGAGGATGCTGGAGATGATGAAGATGTAGGAGCTGAGGATGGTCAGGATGGGGGCAAAGATGTTAAGTGNGTATTCGGAATCCATTTTTTTTTTTTTTTTTTTCTTTCGTTTGCAGTAGAATGTTCTATATAAATGATTCAGTGTTTAGGTATCCTTTTGACCTATATAATCACTTAACTCTGGGTCTATTTATGGAATCACAATACATGTCAATCCAATATTTATAAAACCTCATTTTCAAATATAATAAATATATTTTCTATTAAAAAATTTAGCCATGTTTATCATCATTAAAACGTGCATGGCAGCTGTATGCATAACAATCCAAATTGGAAATAATTCAAATTTGTGTTCAGCAACTGATGAATAGATGAATTAGTCATAGTATAATACATGCATACATAAAATATGCATATCCATATATATACATTTGTGTGTGTACATATAAATATAGATAAACATATACAGAGACATATACAGAGGGCATCTATAGTTGGGATTTAAAGTGTGACATGCAGAATCTCTTAATTCTTCACTTTCGGCCCCAAACTGCCTCATCTGTCTACCTCATGATATGCCATATCATTGTTACCATTTCCTATGAGTGCCATCAAAATCAACCCTGAATATTCGTTGGACAGCGTTGTTGCTGAGGCTGAAGTTCCAATACTTTCATCACCTGACGTGAAGAGCTGACTCACTGGAAAAGACTCTGATACTGGAGAATATTGAAGGCTAAAGGAGAAGCAGGTAGCTGCTGTCTGTCTTTTTACATGTTTTTTTCTTTTTTTCACATAAAATAATCCTACCAATTCTCTTTGTCTCTGTTGTGTGCTAAATAAGTTCTCTTTTCTTTTCAATCTTATTTAAGTTAGAAATCATCATGAAAACATTCTCCAACACCTTGTAATTGTTTTAACCTTCCTACTTCAAGTTCAAAAAACTGTCGTTTCTAAACAGCACATTTTTAGACTTGAGATATACTGTAAGTCAGATGATGCACTGAATCAGACTTATTCTCCTCTGTATAACAAGTAATTGTATAGTGCTGAGGATATAAATGGGATTTTATACATAATCCCATACATGAATATATGAGGAATATTTGCCTGAATTTTCACATTAGTATTTCCAGACTTAATAGTCTCAAGTCACAAATGTGAGATGAATATACTCACCTTTCTTCTTGTTGGAAATCTCAACACCAAATTTTATTTGCAACATGCTTCCTTTGACTCATAAGATAGCTCTGTATTGGTGTCAGGAATGATAGGTACCCAGCTTCCTGCTGTCTGTCGAGAGGGCCAGCACAGCCCAGGTCTCAGAGCCCCTTTTGAAGCTGGTCTGCATCACAGGTCAGCATCTCTAACTGTGTCTTAGTGTGTGTTTCTTCAGCTTCAAGGGAGCAAACATCTGCCCCTTTCTCAGTTCCCCCCTGAGCGGTTGTGATCACTGTGCTATGAAGGTGTGTCCTGGATTTCATATATGCCAGGCAATAAATAACATGGAGTCAAATACTCTCCAAGGATTTCCACTTCTCAGGAGACAAACTCTTGAGAAAAGAAGCAGTTACAGTTGACATGTCCCCAGTTGTCTAACTTTTCCCTTCAAGAGGGATTCTCTGTCAGTCTTAAACTCATCAATTAGTGATTAAGATTTCTTCACAGATTCACCTGGATATTTTTTTCAAAATCAGATCCTCATCCAGCAGTTCTGAGGAGCATTTGAGGTCTTGAGATTCTGCATCTCGTACAAGCTTCTAGCCAGAGCTACTAGTTCCCAGTCCACTCTGTGAATAAAAGGTTTTAGAGGATTGGGCAACATTCTGACAAGTTATCTTAATATTAACATGGCAACACATTTTAATATGATGAAGTAAATCATGTATCCTTATACAAAAATGTATTTAATCAATTTTATATGTAAATACAAAATATACATATTAATTCAAAGTCAAATCTATATGCTATTGGATTTAAAGTTATGGGGTAAGAATTCAGAATATTAACTTAATTTTAGATTTTTTTAGGTGCTCACTGTTAATGATTCTAGTTGCTAAGTTGCATATATAAAATAGTTTATTAGGCACTTATGTTTCCTGTTACTTCTATTCTTATATATTATATTTTCACTTTTTGTTCTAAAATAGGAAAATTGGAACCATACTTAGAAATGATTGAATCAAGGTAATTGCACACTTAAGTCAAGAGAGATCTTATAGTTAAATATAGAAGAGTCAGTTACTTTTACCAGTTTATACTTGTGTTATGTTGAAAGTGAAAGTCACTCAGTTGTCTCTGATTCTTTGTGACCCCATAGACTACGGGTTCGTGGAATTCTTCCAGATCAGAATACCAGAGTGGGTAGTTTTTCCCTTCTCCCTGAGATCTTCCCAACTCAAAGATCAAACCCAGGTCTCCTGCATTGCAGGTGGATTCTTTACTTGCTGAGGCACAAGGGAAGCTAGTGCTATGCAAAGAACTTTGATCTGTCAGTAATGAGAAAGACGGTTTGAACTGAGATGAGGCAGAAGACACTGAGTATTTAGAGCTCCATGTGAATTTATAGTTGATGACCAGAAGTTAAAAAGGAGCAATATGAGGGGAGAGAAGTGATGTTTCCAAGATAAAACTGACAAGAAATAACAATTGCTTATAACTTATGTGGCAAAAGGGTGTGAAAGTAATACAATTTACAGAATTTGGGGTTATTATGAGTAGCTGTTAACATAAATTTATTGTTGTAGTTTAGTGGCAAGATTGTTTTTGGATGGACACTTTGTGACCCTGTGGACTGTATCCCGCAAGGCTCCTCTCTCCATGGGATTTCCCAGGCAAGAATACTGGAGTGGGTTGCCATTTCCTTCTCCAGGAAGTCTTCCCCACTTAAGGACTAAACTCCTTAGTTTAGTCAGCTATATTGGCAGCTGTATTCTTTACCACTGAGCCACCAGGGGAGCCCCTAGAGATAAACATGTGTTGGCTACTTGTGTAAAATTGTTGGCATTAAGCATGATAATTTGAATCTCTTTGATTAGTCTTACCATAAGTTTCTGCAGTCACTCTGCATTTGATCATTTTGCTTGATCAACACAAGTTTGAAATATTGATTATTTTCATTAAATCAAATGAAATAAAAGTGAAAATCAAATTGAAGAGATCTAGTGAAAAACAATACAATCTCACAGGAGATAGAAGCTTAATGTGTAGAAAGAAATTACGGGGAAGTCCTTACACTTACCTACAGTTACCTGAGGCCAATAGATTACTTTGAGTAAAATCACAGTTTTTGGAACCAGACATTCTAGCCTCTGTCTTTATTATGTTTGGGACTATGGAAATTTACTCAAAGTAAACAAGCTTCAACTTATTCATCTTTCAAACAGAAACAATACTAGGGCTTACCTTGAAAGAATATCATGAATATTAAAGAAAATTGTCTAATATAAAGTGTTGGGCACAGAGTTTGATATTTTATACTATCTCAATAATATTATGTTATTACATTATGATGATCATCATAGTGATTCTTGTTGTCTGTATTCTTTTTTATATTACACTGTAACTTCTTTAATTCTCAACAGTCTCTGACTTTATTCTTGATATTTCTCCTTATACAGTCAATGTAACACAAATTCAAAGGAATTAGCCTGGAGGGAATTTGGGAAATGTATTGTATGGGAAAATAATCCTGAATTTCAAAAATTTGAACAATAAAACTAAAACATTACGTATCTCAGCAAAGGTATTTCTGATATGACACCAACATTGAGTCTATTCATCTACATTTTCCACTTTCCAGAATTTTCTTTGGGGCCAATTTGACATCCTTATCCTGCAGAGTGTAGGTCAGAGGATTCAGCAGGGGAACAATGCAGGTATAAAGCACAGAGGACACTTTCCCCTGGTCCATGGGGCTCACTGATGATGGCTGCAGGTACATGAATGCTGCAGATCCATAGAGAATAGCAACAGCCAAGATGTGGGAACTGCAGGTGCTGAAGGCTTTGGACCTGCCCTCTGTGGAGTGGATGTGGACTATTTTGTAGAGGATGAAGATGTAGGAGATGAGAATAGTTAAGGCAGGAATCAGGACTTTGAAAGAGCTGCAGACTAGAGCCAATGATTCTTTGAAATAGATGCTAGAACGGGATAGTTCCATGAGTGGAAAAACATCACAGAAATAGTGGTTAATCACACTGGCCTTGCAAAAATAAAGTCTCAATGTAAGGCAAGTATGGAATGTCAGTTGAATGATGCACAAGATGTACACGGCTGCTGTGAGCTGGAAGCTCCTATAATAAGAGATGATGGCATTATAAAGCAAGCACTTACAGATGGCAGCATAGCAGTCATATACCATTTCAGCCAACATACAACTCTCTGCAATAATAAAAAGAAGAAAGAAGTAGAGTTGAGTCATACATTCAGGGTAGAAGATGATATTTTTCTCCGTCACAAAGTTCACCAGCATTTTGGGGGTAATAACAGTGGACTGACAGAGATCAATAAAGGACAAATTGCTGAGGAAATAGTACATGTGGGTGTGCAGGTGAGAACTGAGTCCAATCAGTGTGATCATGTCCTGGTTCCCCATCACTGTGATCACATAGATTCCTAGGAAGAGGAGGAAAAGGGGCAGCCGGAGTTGTGGCTGTTCTGTGAGACCAGTGAGGATGAACTCAGTCAGTGAGGAGGGATTTCGAGGGTCCACTTTCTTCTCAGCGGGTTCTAATTTAAAAAGCAGAAAATGAGTGTACTTTGTGTGTGTGTGTGTGTGTGTGTGTGTGTGTGTGTGTGTGAGAGAGAGAGAGAGAGAGCGGTTTATGCATGTGTGTGTGTGAGAGAGGAAGAGAGGTTTATGAATGTGTGTATGAGAGATAGAGAGAGACAGAGAGTAAATCTGTGATCATTCTTTATGCTTCATCAGAGGAAATACATAAAGCAGGGAAATCTCAAGCATCTTCTGCTACTCTAGGACAAACAATGAATCTGGTTGAACTAGAATAGAAATTATAAACTTCAAGAACTTTATAATTAAGAGATTTCATAATTTTAAGAGAAACAACAATTCATGCATTTTTAAAATCCATCAGCATGAACATTTCTAGTATTATTTCTGAGTACTCTTCTTTCCTCCATGTTTCTATGTTCATAAATTAATATGCATGTCAAATGACTTAGTATTTTCCTTCCATTTATAATAAGTAGTCTTGTACGCTTTCTGTAATTAATGCATAGAGGATTCACAAGTCTGTGAAAAGTAGTTATATCAGTTGGGGCTGTCTTCTTTAGCAACATCCCAGCTGAAAATATCTGAAATGTGACAACCAGTATCACTTCACCTGAGATCTGATGCTCTAATGTCCCAGCTTCCTTCTCCCTGGAATTTGAACCCAGAGGACAGAAATGTAACTGCTTGGCAGACATCATGCTTATACCTCAATAGGTTTTCCCACCCCAGGAACCATTAGAAAAAAAAGACTTTTTCTAATTTGGATAATCTTAGAGGTGAGAGTACAGTGGTCTAAATACAAGTCATGTACTCCACCACTGTGACCAGGGCATCAGGATACCAAGATTGACCTATGCAATTTGACTTCATGATTTAAATGGTGGAGGTGAGAAAATGATTCTATTCTCCAAACTGTAAAGGGCTTTTGAACACAAACACTAGGTGTTTGGTATGCCAATGTTTTTAAAAATATAATCATGTATTTTGCATGTGCTCTCAATAGAATTCAAAGATGGTAGAGATGTGGATGAGTAAAGTAAATGCAAAATAAAATAAGTAATTTTAGAGTCAATTCAATACAAGTCAAAAGTGTGATGCTTTTTTTTCTTTAAGTGTATCGAAGTTTCATTTGATTAAAATTATTTCAGTGCCTAATCTGGGCGTAAATTAGCTGCTATATATTAACTGAATAACTGTTATACCCATAAAAGCATGGTCATCTTATGGCTTCTTTTTTTTTAAATTAATTCATTTGCTTTAATTGGAGGCTAATTACTTTACAATATTGTAGTGGTTTCTGCCATACATTCACATGAATCAGCCGTGGGTGTAAATTTGACCCCAATCCTGAACTCCCCTCCCACACCCCTCCCCATTCCATCCCTCAGTGTCATCCCAGTATACAGGCATTGAGCGCCCTATCTCATGCATCAAACCTGGACTGGTGATCTATTCCACATATGGTAATATATATGTTTTAATGCTATTGTCTCACATCGTCCCACCCTCGCCTTCTCCCAGAGAGTCCAAAAGTCTGTTCTTTACATCTGTGTCTCTTTTGCTGTCTCGCATATAGGATCATAGTTACCATCTTTCTAAATTCTATATATATGCGTGAATATACTGTATTGATGTTCTTCTTTCTGACTTACTTCACTCTGTATAATAGGCTCCAATTTCATCCACCTCATTAAAACTGATTCAAATGCATTCTTTTTAATATCTGAGTAATATTCCATTGTGTATATGTACCACAGCTTTCTTATCCATTCGTCTGACGATGGACATCTAGGTTGCTTCCATGTCCTAGCTATTGTAAACAGTGCTGTGATGAACTTTGGGGTACATGTGTATCTTTCAATTCTGGTTTCCTCGGTGTGTGTGCCCAGCGGTGGGATTGCTGGGTCGTATGGTAGTTCTATTTCCAGTTTTTTAAGGAATCTCCATACTGTTCTCCATAGTGGCTGTACTAGTTTGCATTCCCACCAAACAGTGCAAGAGGGTTCCCTTTTCTCTGCACCCTCTCCAGCATTTATTGTTTGTTGACTTTTTGATAGCAGCCATTCTGACGGGCTTGAGATGATACCTCACTGTGGTTTTGATTTGCATTTCTCTGATAAGGAGTGAGGTTGAGCATCTTTTCATGTGTTTGTTAGCCATCTGTATATCTCCTTTGGAGAAATGTCTGTTTAGTTCTTTGGCACATTTTTTGATAGGGTCATTTATTTTTCTGGAATTGGGCTGCATGAGCTGCTTGTATATTTTTGAGATTAATTCTTTGTCAGTTGCTTCTTTTGCTATTATTTTCTCCCATTCTGAAGGCTGTCTTTTCACCTTGTTTATAGTTTCCTTAGTTGTGTAAAAGCTTTTAAGTTTAATTAAGTCCCATTTGATTATTTTTGCTTTTTCCATTACTCTGGGAGGTGGGTCATAGAGCATCCTGCTGTGATTTATGCCAGAGAGTGATTTGCCTAGGTTTTCCTCTAGGAGTTTTATAGTTTCTGGTTTTATATTTAGATCTTTAATCCATTTTGAGTTTATTTTTGTGTATGGTGTTAGAAAGTGTTCTAGTTTCATTCTTTTACAAGTGGTTGACCAGTTTTCCCAGCACCACTTGTTAAAGANCCTGGGAAGCCTCCTGACAAGTTATCTTAATTTAATAGGAAAACAGATTTTAAAATAATGAAGTAAATTAATTAACCTTGTATAAAGATACATTTAATTCATTTAACTATAAATAGAAAATATAAATATTGATTCAAAAATCAAGCTTATATATAATAGGATTTACAGTTTGGTGGTAAGAATTCAGAATATTGATGTAATATTTGATTTTTTAAGGTCCTCATTATTAAAAATTCAACTTGCTATTTGCATATATAAAGAAATGTTTTATTAGGCATCTTTGTTTCTTATTTCTTCTATTTTTGTATTTTCTCATATTTTCATTTTTTGTTCTAAAAGAAGAAAATGGGAAATAATCTAATATTTAACTGAATCAAGGTAAATTGGTCTCTCAAGTGAAGAGAGATACTATATAGTTAAATATATCAGTTCAATTATTATTACCAGTTTACACTTGCATACACTAGTGTTTCTCAATTTTGGATACTCATTTCAAGTAAACAAGGGAGTTTGTTTTATTATTATTTCAATACCCAGGGTATACTCTATGTAAATAAAGTCAAATTTTTCCAGTATAACATAAGATATCAGTATTTTTTGAAAACTTTTAAACCTTTAATGTGCATGGGAATAACCTAAGGATCTTGATCAAAAGCCCAGATTCTGATAGTAAGTCTCATAAATGACTTGAGATTATGTATTCTAAACAAAATGTCTCAGATCTTGTCACTGCTGCTCATCTATGGACCACTTGAAAAAATGAAGGATAGATCTCTTGTTTTGAATATCTTCCTAGAATTCTTACAGATTCTCGTAAAGTAGCCCCAATTAAAAGGTTTCTTTAGCATTGGATTTGGTGTGGCTGCAGGATTCTGGGATGTTTGAAGGTTAATATATGTGTACGGAATGCCACCTTATAGATGAGCACACTATGATTTATACTTACTTCAGTGTGTTGAATAAAAGAAGCGAGAAAGAGACTTGGAGTTTGGTAAAGGTCAAGGCTGTATATTATCACCCTGCTTGTTTAACTATTTTGCAGAGTACAACATGCAAAATTCCTGGCTGAATGAAGCACAAGCTGGAACTAAGATTTCCAGGCGAAGTATCAGTATCTCAGATATGCAGATGACACCATCCTTATGGCAGAAAAAGAAGAGGAACTAAAGAACCTCTTGATGAAGGTGAAAGAGGAGAGTGAAAAAGTTGGCTTAAAACTCAACATTCAGAAAACTAAGATCATGGCATCTGGTCCCACCACTTCAAGGCAAATAGATGGGAAAAAATGGAAACAGTGACATATTTTATTTTCTTGGGCTCAAAATCACTGCAGATGATGATGGCAGCCATGAAATTAAAAGACATTTACTCCTTGGAAGAAAAGCAATGACCAACCTAGATAGCATGTTAAAAAGAAGAGACAGTGACATTGCTTTGCTGACAAAGGTCTATCTAGTCAAAGTTTTGCTTTTTCTAGTAGCCATGTATGGATGTGAGAGTTGGACCATAAAGGTTGAATGCTGAAGAATTGATGCTTTTGCACTGTGGTGTTACAGAAGACTCTTGAGAGTCCCTTGGACTGCAAGGTCAAACCAGTTAAACCTCAAGGAAATCAATCTTATCAATCTTGATATAGACTGATATTGATATCAGTCTAATATTCATTAGAAGGACTGATGCTGAAGCTGAAGCTCCAATAGTTTGGCCACCTGATGTGAAGAGCTGAATCATTTGAAAAGACCATGATGCTGGGAAAGATTGAAGGCAGCAGAAAAAGGAGGGGATTGACAGAGGATGAGATGGTTGGATGGCCATCACTGACTCAGTGGACATGAGTTTGAGCAAGCTCCAGGAGATGGAGTGCTGCAGTTCCTGAGGTCACAAAGTGTCAGACATGACTGAGTGACTGAACAACAACAGCAAAATTAACAAAAGTTCAGACACAGAAAGAATGTAAACAGAAAGTATAAACATATTTTCCTATGACTCTACATCCTGAAAAATATTAAAATACTCATAGAAGCCAATCTTTCTGTTCTAACAGGATACATTTTCTGATTTATGTGAATATATATGTTGTTTTTGTTCAGTCACTCAGTCATGTATGACTCTTTGTGACCCCATGAACTGAAGCACACCAGGCTTCCCTGTCCTGCACCATCTCTCAGAGCTTGCTCAAACTCATGTCCATAGAGTCAATGATGTCATCCAACCATCTCATCCTCAGCTTCACCTTCAGTCCTTCCAATAAATATTCAGGACTGATTTCCTTTACGATGGACTGGTTGGATCTCCTTGCAGTCCAAGGGACTCTCCCGAGTCTTCTCCAACACCACAGTTCAAAAACATCAATTCTTTGGTGCTCAGATTTCTTTACATTCCAACTCTCACACCCATACATGACTGCTTGAAAAACCATAGCTCTGATTAGATGTACCTTTGTTGGTAAAGTAATGTCTCTGCTTTTTAATATGCTCTCTAGGTTGTCCATAACTTTTCTTCCAAGGAGCAAGCATCTTTTAATTGCATGGCTGCAGTCACCATCTGCAGTGACTTGGAGCCCAAGAAAATAAAGTCTGTCACTGTTTCCATTGTTTCAGCATCTATTTGCCATGAAGTGATGGAACTGGATGCCATGATCTTAGTTTTCTGAATGTTGAGTTTTAAGCCAACTTTTTCACTCTCCTCTTTCACCTTCATCAAGANGTACCCCTTTCCCAATTTGTAAGCAGTCTGTTCTTCCATGTCCAGTTCTAACTGTTGCTTCTTGACCTGCATACAGATTTCTCAGGAAGCAGGTCAGGTGGCCTGGTATTCCCATCTCTTTAAGAATTTTCCAGTTTGTTGTGATCCACACAGTCAAAAGCTTTGGTATAGTCAATAAAGTAAAAGTAGATTTTTTGGGGGGGAACTCTTGCTTTTTCAATGATCCAACGGATGTTGGCAATTTGATCTCTTTACCTTTTCTAAATCCAGCTTGAACATCTGGTAAGTTCATGGTTCTCATACCACTGAAGCCTCAGATGAATAAGGCAGCACATTATCCAAAGAGCATGATCTTAATGAATAAGATGGTTTATTTGGGAAAAGACTGAAGACAATTGAGCAGTGAATTCACAGTTACAAGGCAAATGTCCAGAAGCAGAAAAGCAATATTTCAAGTGGCAGAGAAGAGAAATTTCAAAGACAAAACCAACATGAAATGGCAATTATTTGTAAATTATGGGGCAAAACAGCCTGAATCTTACCACAGTGATAAAAATTGGCATATCAGCAGTTGCTCTGTAAGTAGCTATAGTATTGCACTGAGAAGATAAGTCAAGGTTGTTGAGGTTGCTTTTATAAAAAATTTTTTCTATCAAATGTAGTAATTTAAGTCTCATATAAGACTATAGTAAGTCTCCTTTTTTCTTGTTTTGATTAAGTAAGTTAGAAATATTTTGATTATTTTTATGATGCTAGATGAAATAATAGTAAAAGAAAGTATTAAGGAGATCTAGAGGAAAGCAACACAGTTTTATAGGGAACTGAATTTGCTTGATGTGTAGAAGAAAATTCCTAGGGAAACCTTAGTTCATGCATATTCAGTCGTGTCTGACTGTTTGCACACCCCATGGACTGTATCCAACCCATCTCTTCTGTCCATGGGATTTTTTCAGACAAGAACAGTGGAGTGGGTTGCCATTTCTGTCTTCAGGGAATCTTCCCAACCCAGGCATCAAATACTTGTCTCGCGCATTGGTAAATGGGTTCTTAACTACTAGCACTACCTCCCACAATTACATGGGGCCAAATAATCATCTTGAGAAAAATCATAGGTCTTGGAAACAAACACTCTAGGCCTTACCATTTGTTATGTTTAAGACTGTGGGCAAATAATCAAACTAAATTCGACTAGGGTTTACTCTGATATAAGCTGTGCATTTAATAAAGTTATCCATTTCAAGTGCTGGAAATAGTACATAATATTTCATAAAATTCTGATAATATAGATTACTAGGATTGTCTTCAAAATCTTCATTCCTTCCTCTATATTGTTCTTGTTCTCTGCATTATCATTGAAAATAAAACTAAGACTCCTTTAACCCTCAAGTGTTTTTAGAATATTATACATAATCACAGTTTCTGAGTTTATATATAATGACTTTAATATATGTTGAAGAAGGGGCCTGAAGTAGAATTTTGGGTATATTTTTTATATGTCATTAAGTTTCCCAAATCAATAAACTCAATACATATTATACCTCAGGGAGCAAAAGGACTTCTATGTCATCATGATAGTGATTCTATTCATACACGTTTTTCAATCTCCAGAATTTTTTCAGGGCAAGTTTGACATCCTTGTTACGCAGACTGTAGATCAGAGGATTCAGCATGGGCACAATGCAGGTATAAAACACAGAGGATACTTTTCCTTGATCCATGGAGCTCACAGATGATGGCTGCAGGTATGTGAATGTTGCAGATCCAGAGAAAACAGCAACAGCTGAAATATGAGAACTGCATGTGCTGAAGGCTTTGGACCTGCCCTCAATGGAGTGGATTTTGAGGATGCTGGAGATAATGAAGATGTAGGAAGCAAGGATGGTTAAGGAAGGTGTCACAATGTTAAATGCACTCAAGACTAGAACCAATAGTTTGTTGATGTAGGTGCTAGAACAGGATAGCTCCAAGAGTGGAAAGAGATCACAGAAATAATGGTTAATCATCTTGTTCTTGCAGAAAAAGAGTCTCAACATAAAGCCTGTATGGATTGTAGACCCGATGAAGCCCAAAATATAAACTCCCACTGTGAGGCGGAAGCAGATGTGGTAAGACATGAGGACATTATAAAGCAAGGGGTTACAGATGGCAACATAGCGGTCATAGGCCATTACAGCCAACATGTAACCCTCTGCAATAATAAAAATGATGAAGAAATAGAGCTGAGTCATGCATTCAGTGTAGGAGATAATATTCTTCTCTGTCACAAAATTCACCAGCATTTTGGGGGTTATGACAGTGGAATGACAGAAGTCAACAAAAGACAGGTTGATGAGGAAGTAATACATTGGAGTGTGCAGATGGGAACTGAGCCCAATCAGTGTGATCATGCCCAGGTTCCCCACCACTGTGACCATATAGATTCCTAGGAAGAGGAAGAAAAGGAGCAGCTGGAGTTGTGGCTGTTCTGTGAGCCCAGTGAGTATGAACTCAGTCACTGAGGAGTGATTTCCAGGGTCCATTATCTTCTCAGTCTGTTCTAAGTTTACAAAAGAAAATCAGTATACTTTAGTGTGCGTGTGTTATAAGGGAGAGTAGTTGTCTGGAGATCATTATTTGATCCCTTCTCAGAAGAGATTGACAATCTTTTCTGGGATCTCTCAAGTCTCTCTTGTTTCTCTGGGACCAAAAAAAAAAAAAAAAAGAAGATCCTGGTTGAATCAGAGAAGGAAATATAAACTCTACAAACTTTTATAATTCAAGCAGTTCATAACTTTATCAGAGGCAACCCCAATTGCTGGATTTTGAAAATCATCGGAATGGGCTTCTGTGGTATCTCAAATGAGTCTGCCTGCAATGCATGTGACATGTGTTCAATTCCTGGGTTGGAATGATCTCCTGGAGAAGGGAATGGCAACCACTCCAGTATTCTGGTCTGTAGAATCCCGTGGACTGAGGAGCCTGGCAGCTACAGCCCACTGGATCACAAAGAGTCAGACAGAGCTGAGTGACTAAGCACTAAGCATGCACTTCCATTTCTGAGTATTTTTTCTTTCCTTCCATATTCTATATGTGTATACTAACATATGCATGTCAAATGGCATAATATTCATTTCACCCACAATAAGTAATAGCAGTGCATGTCTTCTATAATTAATAAAGAGGATTCATAGATCTTTGAAAAGTAACTTTATTACTTTTAACTGTATTAGTCTCAGCTACTTTCCTTACTAGAATCCCACTTCAAACTATCTGAAGCGCTGGATGACTACCAGTATCATTCCACCTGAGGGCTGCTGTTTCATATGGCAGCTTCCTTCTCCCTGGACCATGACCCCAGAGAGTAGAAACATAACTTTTTGGCAGACATCATGCTTTTATCTCCATAGCTTGTCCAACTCCAGAACCCATCTTCCTTGTTCTAACTTAGATAATCTTGTGCATGTGTGTGTGCAAGCTAAGTTGCTTCAATCATGTCTTTGCAACCCTATGGACCATAGCCCACCGGGCTCCTCTGTCCATGGGATTCTATAGGCAAGAATACTGGACTGGGTGGCCATGTCCTCCTCCAGGGGATCTTCCCAACCCAGGGATCAAACCATAGAAGGAAATATAAACTCTACAAACTTTTATAATTCAAGCAGTTCATAACTTTATCAGAGGCAACCCCAATTGCTGGATTTTGAAAATCATCGGATGGGCTTCCGTGGTAGCTCAAATGAGTCTGCCTGCAATGCATGTGACGTGTGTTCAATTCCTGGGTTGGGATGATCTCCTGGAGAAGTGAATGGCAACCACTCCAGTATTCTGGTCTGTAGAATCCCGTGGACTGAGGAGCCTGGCAGCTACAGCCCACCGGATCACAAAGAGTCAGACAGAGCTGAGTGACTAAGCACTAAGCATGCACTTCCATTTCTGAGTACTTTTTCTTTCCTTCCATATTCTATATGTGTATACTAACATATGCATGTCAAATGGCATAATATTCATTTCACCCACAATAAGTAATAGGAGTGCATGTCTTCTATAATTGATAAAGAGGATTCATAGATCTTTGAAAAGTAACTTTATTACTTTTAACTGTATTAGTCTCAGCTACTTTCCTTACTAGAATCCCACTTCAAAATATCTGAAGCACTGGATGACTACCAGTATCATTCCACCTGAGGGCTGCTGTTTCATATGGCAGCTTCCTTCTCGCCGGACCATGACCCCAGAGAGTAGAAACATAACTTTTTGGCAGACATCATGCTTATATCTCCATAGCTTGTCCAACTCCAGAACCCATCTTCCCTTGTTCTAATTTAGATAATCTTGTGCATGTGTGTGTGCAAGCTAAGTTGCTTCAATCATGTCTTTGCAACCCTATGGACCATAGCCCACTGGGCTCCTCTGTCCATGGGATTCTATAGGCAAGAATACTGGACTGGGTGGCCATGTCCTCCTCCAGGGGATCTTCCCAACCCAGGGATCAAACCAACTACTCTCTTATGACTACCTGCATTAGCAAGCTGGTTCTTTACCACTAGCGTTACCTGGGAAGCCTTAGATAATCTCAGGAACCAGAATATAATGTCCTAAAATTAGGGCAGGTATTCCATCACTGTGACCAGGGTGGCAGTATACTCAGATTGATCAATGCAATTTGAACTGCATGGCCAATGGTAGAGGTGAGAAAAGTATTCATATTCCAAAAACATAAGAAAGGTTTTTAAAGGCAAACAGAAGATTCCTTGCTGGTCTTTGTGTGTGTGTGTGTGTGTGTGTGTGTGTGTGCGATCATGTATTTTGCGTGTGCTATCTATGGAATTCAAAGATGGTAGAGATATAGGTTAATAGAGTGCATGCAAAATACAATTAGGAATTTTAGTTTATAAGCAATTTTGGATAATGTTGGTCAGTTGTGTGATTTTTTTTTAAGAGACCAAGATATGTTTAGTTTACATTTGCAAGGAAGATGAGCAGATTCTAGGAAATAGAAATTTATATTCTTAATTAAAACTCAAACAGTGGTTGGATTAATATGTTCAGTCTGATGTACAATACTTAATGTAACAGACAAACTAGACAATTTCAGAAAAATGATCTAGAAATCTGTCATTTTAGAATGTCTGAAAAAAACTGAAGATAGTTTTAGAGCAAAGCAAAAATTCATGTAGCATAGGACAGTTAACTCATGTCTCAAAATATTGCTTTACTTAAGACATATTGGTGTCATTTTATATGCCATCAAGAGACTGAAGTAAAATTAACTGCTTGAAACTACAGGTGAAATATTTGGGTTCAAACTGAAATGACTGTTCCAACTCTGACATAACTAGATCTTAGTCAAAGTTGCTTTCAGCCTGAATAGCTAGTTATTTAGCAGATATATTGTTAATGACATAAGCACTTGATGGCTGGTTGGATTAAATAGTCTTTTATATCTCTTCCAGTTTCAATGTTTAATGAATTTATAATTATTATAAGTTCTGATGTTAAGCTAGTAATGGATTAAAATTTCATATCAATTCCATACTTGCCCTATGACCTTAGGTTAATTACATCTACTCTCCAGTTCTCTAAAAAAACAAAAATACTAATATCTGTTTCATGTGAAAATTAAGTGGATCTTAGTAAGAAAATATCAATGTTATTTTACCTTTGATATATTGTTTCTTTCCAATATATCTTTTATTTAACCAACATTTTCATTCCTTAATGATGGCCAATGTTTTAAATTTTCTTCTTCTTAGCACACCTTCTTCTTGCCTCTTTTACATTAACGCATATGGTAATACATATTTGAAGATTTTTACTGAATATTAGCTTCCTAAACTATCAATATTTTCCATAGTGACTAAATAAGTTCAAATCAATTTCTTTGTCATTCAGAGATTTATATTGTCTGACAGCTAAAGAAATGTTTTCTTATAATGTTGGAACAGCTATCACATAATTTATTTCACAAAAAAGCATAGTAGGCTCTCATTTTCAATTCATCAAATTCCTTTAGCTTTTCTCACTCTACCCCCTTATCCTGTGAAATCTATTTAA